GGAATGCCGCTGCCCAAAGCCCATCACCAAACATCCCCCTGTGCTGCTGGCAATGCTGGCTCTCCTGCTGGGTTTGGCTGGTGGGCAACAGCTCCTGTGTGCAGCAGGGCAAACCTCGGCCTCTCCCGCTCTGGTAGCATGGCAGGTATTAAATCAGACAAAAAACCCAAACAAACAAACAAAAAAAGCCTTGAAAATCAATTAGCAGCAAAAGGCAACTATCAAAGAACAAATTAAAATGGAGTGCAGCTTAGTGCTCTGTCAATAAGCAATGCAAATAATATTTAATTATGGTGGAGAGACGGCAAATTCCCCACTGCTGCTTCTGGAGTGTGCTCCCTCACCTTCCCAGCCCTCCTCTCCCTTCCCAGGCCCTGCTGCCAGTATGGCACTGGGATAGAACCCCCCTGGCAGGGATGGGCTGAGGTGGTGCAGGATAGCTGGGTGGCTGTGGGCAGAAGGACAGGATTGGAGCAGGGGGACTGAGTTGGAGCCAAGGCGCAGGGCTATTCAGGGAAGCAGGAGGAAGGGAGTGGCTTTGCTGGAAATCACCTTCACCATCCCTCCAGGAGCAAAGAAACCCAGGAGAAGGTGCTGGCTCCAGGCTGCCATACCCCTGTCATGAGCCCAGCAGCTGGGGAAGGCTGTTTGCAGATGGCTGTGAGATGCTCAGGGTGGGGAGGAGGAAGAGGAGGAGGATGCTGCAGCATCTGCAGGAGGGCAGGAGTAGATCTGGTCACTAAGCTGCCCAGCAAGGGAGCAAATTTCCCCCAGGAAGAAGCTGGATGCCTCTCCCTTTGTGCCTCCTCCCGAGAGAAGTGCCTGTCTCTGAGCCCGTTTAGGCCGTTTGATTGCAGGGGCAGGGATCAGCCCTGGAGAAACAAGAGTGGACGTGACTGGAAGTGTGAGCAGCTCCAGGCAGGGCTCGTGCTGGGGGATGGTGGTCCGGAGGGATGTCCCATGCCCTCCCGTGGTGAAGCATCCTGGCACCAGTGGGGTTGAGGGGCAGGGAATGGACCCATCCTGCTGTCCTCATGGCCCCATGTAAGCAGCTCTCCCCTGGCCAGGTTCTCGACAAAACTCAGGGGACAAAAGATCTGAATTTCTCATGGGAAAAGCCATCTACTTAAAGGAAAACAATGTGCTTGGTAAATAAACTATGAAGTTAATTTAAAACCCATCCTGGCCTCCCTCCTGTTTCCCCTCCACAGATGATGTGGAGAGATGCCACCCCCCCTGTGCCACCTCTGGTCAGCCACCACATCGGTGACATTCCCTTGACATTGCAAGGGGTGGCCAAACCATTTGCCACAGGCTCGGGAGCATAACAGGATTGATATGGGAGGTTTGGGCTTTAATTCCAGCTGATGGATTGTGAGTGTAAACCTCGAGCTGATCCTGGTGTGGGGGCTCCAGCCATCCAGAACGAAGCTGAACTCAGCCAAGCGGGAGGTGAGCAGGGACCGTCCCCACCTCCCCTGAGCCACGTTGCCAAGATCAAAATCCAGATTATGCTCTCAATTTCACATAAATCCAGAGAAAAGGAAGAAAACCAACTGCAGCCCCCCTGCAAAGCCGTGCTGCTGCAGTAGAGCCAGCACCCTGTCTGCATGTTGGGCCATGGGCTCCCTGCAGAGTGGATCTGGCCCCAGACCTGCCATGAGTGTGGGGCTGCACACACACAATAGTTTGTCCCTGCCAGCACCAGATGGTGATTTAGAGGCAGCTGCTGAAAACAGGCTTTAGAGGGGATAAAGCCACGGCCTGAGGGCACGTGCAGCCCTCAAAACTCTTGCTTTTTTTCCCTGCCCTAGCAAAGTCCTGGTGACACCTCCCTGTCCCTCCCCATTTTAAATCAGGACATCCTGCACAGGTCCAGCCCCTCCACTGCCCCCTGCTGTCACTGGGAAAATCCAACCCTCCTCATGGTTATCCTCCACCGGAGCCGGGACCACTGTCAATAATTACAGCTCCTCTGTTTATCCTTATTCCGTTATATCCCGCACTTCCCAGGGGCTAATTTGTATGCTGCCAGGTTTGGTGCTGTCTGGCTGCTCTCACTCATGTAGCTGTAAGGAGGCAGATGTATATATCTCAGAGACAAACACACAGCTATCTCTAAGTGGGATACCCCATGAATCACTGACACCTATACAGCAACCAGGCCCTTGGCAAGAGCTGATGTTATCCAAGCTACGTTTATCCTCTATCCATAAACCTTCTGACTTCAACCAAGTTACTCCTATTTAAGCCAGGTTGAATTTGGCCCCCGAAATGGGGTCATTTCCACCTGGATGAAGGCAGGCAAAGCTGTCACCAGCCCAGGCAGGGATGGGAGCATCTTGGTGCTAGGCTGGAGCTACAAGGAGCCACCTCAGGAAGGCCAGAGGAAGAAATTCTGCATTAAATTTATATTAGAGCAAAGGAGAATATGATTCAACTTCTGGATTTACAGCAGTGTAACCACAAGTATCTTGGCAGGTCCCCAGCATTTCTCATCATTACATTTCAAAAGAAAGAACTTTGAAACATCTATTTTATGTGTGATCTGTTACAATATGTAAAACGTCACATAAACAGACACCACAGTTTGAATCACAGAATCACGGAATCTTAGGGGTTGGAAGGGACCTCTAAAGATCACCCAGTCCAACCCCCCTGCCAGAGCAGGATCACCCAGAGCACATCACACAGGAATGTGTCCAGGTGGGTTTTGAATGTCTCCAGAGAAGGAGACTCCACAGCCTCTTTGGGCAGCCTGTCCCAGGGCTCTGTCACTCTCACAGGAAAGAAGTTTTTTCTGATATTTACATGGAACCTCCTATGCTCCAGTTTGCACCTATTGCCCCTTGTCCTATCACTGGACATCACTGAAAAAAGCCTGGATGAGGTCACTCCTCAGTCTCCTCTTCTCCAAGCTAAAGAGACCCAGCTCCCTCAGCCTTTCCTCACAAGAGAGATATTCCACTCTCTTCATCATCTCTGTGGCTCTGTGCTGGACTCTTTTTGAGCCACTCTTTGCCCCAGGCTACCAGCATCACAGGCATGGTCTCCAGTCCCATCTCCATCAAGGAGAACTTCTGCCAAAATTGCCAGGTCCCACATTGTTTTGCCACATTTGTGCAGAAGTCCTGCAGCTTTACAGCCCACAGCACGGGGACCAGGGAACTCCTGATGGACAGGGGGCAACATCCAGAGATGCCCCAACGCCCAGTGAGCACCATTGGCACTACTCAGAAGCTTTACTGGAGGCTGCCAGGCAGTACCTGCCCTCCTCCACATCTAGACTGGTGCTGGCTGAGGAGAGCCACCCTGCCCACAGGCACAAGGACTATTGGGGGTCCCACTGGTGACAGGGTTTGGAGCTGAGGATTGAGCCATGTGGGGATGAGCCACATGAGGGATGTGACCTAGAACTGCAGCCTTGGCCAGGCGGCTCCTGTGGATGCTGACACCTCCCTTTACTGCTCATCTCCATGGGAACGAGCCATCCCAGCTGATGATGATGGCTTAAATGGCAGCACCGATAAACACAGGGCTGATCGGGCTGCTGGCCAGATGCTGGATGGGGTTTGGCAGCTCTGGACAAGCTGAGTACCCACAGGTTTCTCCTCTGGCTCCAGCAGAGCTCCTGCAACATCCCAACAGCATCCCTGCATCCCATGTCCTTTCCCTCACATGCCCAATCAAGAATATATCCCATCAACATTCCCACACATCCTTCTAAATTTCCCAGAGAAATATTAAGTCTGAAAAAAACCCAGTGAAATGTCCATCATCAAGTTGTTGTGATTACTAATAATAATGAGCACCAATGCCAGCTCCCAGCACATGGCTGAGAAACTCCAGGCCAGTGCAAAAGGGCCTTTCTCCTTCTTAAATTCCTCAGCTTTTCCTGAAATGCAGGAATTGAATGCCAAGGAGGGAGACAGGGTGTTCTCCAGCCACGTTCCTGCTTTTATAGCAGCCCAGGTTATAAATAACAATCAGCCTCTCCCGCCAGCCTGCTCCCCTGTCCCCCTGCGCTTTTTTTAATCTTTGCCAAAGGTACTGTTTAGAGATCTTTCTAGATCATTTATTTTTAAATTACCAGCCAGAGGAGAGAAGAAGAAAAAAGAAAAATGAAAAAAGGCAAAAGAAAGAAACTTCTGGGGCTGATAGCTTATCAGGAGGAAATCCAAATGTCATGTTGGTTGAGAAAGTTGGAAGATTAAATTTTCCAACACCCTTCATCTGCTGCTGACATTTTGGGCCTTTTTTATTTTCCCTTTCTCCCTCTCCTGGATGCACCTCCCAGCAAGGTGAGCAGTGAGAAGGCAGCCCCTGCCTATGGCCAGGCCTGGTGTGGTGCCCACCCTTGCCTCCCCTGCCCCAGAAGGTGCTGAGGCTGGTGGACCTCCAGCCTCCCACCACCAGCCCTTGGGCTCTCACTCTTCCACAGGGACCTGCAGCAGGTGTCCTGCACAGAGGATGAAGAGAAGGAGCAGGCTTGCCCACACATCCCCAGGGGTGAATGCCAGGCCCTGTACTGCCACAGAGCACATGTGTCCAACCGTGGGAGGAGCAGCAACAGCAAAACCTCTCATTGCCACTTGACGGCCTGGGAACCAACAGCTCCTGGCTGATGCGAAGCAGAAAACAAACCCTGGCCCTCCAGTCAGAACCTGGGCAAGCTCCATCAGCTTGTACCAGCCAATGGCACATCCCAGGGGATTTTTGCCTCACTTGTGATTTAAGCATCTTCCCCTGCCATAAATACAGTACTAAAGATGGAAAATCTCTTTATTTCTGCTATGTTCTGCCCTTAATACCCAACCAAGAGCATCTACTGATTTGCACACTTCTCCATGGACAAATCCAACAGCCCTTGATAGGTGAAAACTTTGCCTCTGCAAACATTTTGAGAGCCTTGGGGACCCCCAGGAACTTTTTCTGATGTTCCCATTTGTTAAAAACCACTTGGAAGACAGTGAAGCTGAAGTGCAAGCAAAATGAATAAGAAGCTCATTCCTTTCTAGCCATAGTTAAGAGCCAGCACAAGGCCTGTGAATAAGCCCCAGTTCCACTGAATAGGCATTGTCCATCAGAACTAACTCCACTGCAGCTAGATCCTGCTCCATTTAAATATAAAAATTGAAGCTAAATAAAGAAAAGAGGGAAAGTGAGCTATTTAGTTCCATTCAGACCTTTGAGTATCATCTCTCTCCTTTTTTATTTCAGCATCACCTTCTTTTCTCTCCATTATCTTTGCTGGAATTAAAATTGCAGGGATTTCAGCAGAAACAGCATTAATAGGAAAGGACTCTCCCTGCTGGCCCCACAGACCGTGACAAGAGGACACCCCCATTTTGCTTGATACCTGCTCAGAGGAGGGCTGCAGCCAGTGTGGCCCACGATGTCAGGCTGTTCCTCCAGATGACATGCCACCTCCCATAGGGAAGGGTCAGGGACCAGAGACCTGAGCCACACGGTCCCCAGGGTCACCATGCCACACCATGGTGCCTGGTGTGCTGGAAGGGCTCAGTGGGCACAGCTCTGAGGTGGAGATGCCTCCTATTTCCTAATCCTGCCTTCTGTAAGTGGGGATGCTCTCCTCCCTTGCAGAAGTGGCAAATCCCAAAGCTCACAGCCAGGAATTGCCAGCTCAGATTGTCACTGCTGACACCAGCTGGGTGTGGGCAGCCGGGATCAGCCAAGGTAACACCAGGTCTGGGGATGTCCAGCTCCCTGTTCCCTGCCCTGCAGCTGTGATAGTAAAAGCCCTGCCCAGCCTGATGGATGCATCAGTCCTTCTCCTTGCTTCCCAGGCAGGGGTCTGCTCTGCTCCCTGGGCTGTCTCCTCTGGCACCAACCTCCAGCCACTTTTGCCTCTGCTTCTATCCAAAATCCGCTTTAATGCATTTTAAGACCATTAGCTCCATCCTCTCTGGAGCAGCCATGGAGAGCAGGATCCTGCCCATCCTCCTTTGGCAGCTTCTCCCAGGCTGGGGAGAGACAGCAGATATCCCTGCTCCCAGTGAACGGGGTCCTGAGCAGGGAGACCTGCTTGAGAGAGCAAGTGCCCTCACAGCATCTACCTGACCTCTCCCTTCTACCTCCCAGACTCTCCCTGGCTCCTGCTTTCCCAGCCAAGGAGCCCTGCCTGCTGTCACTGACTGGGGATGGTGGCACTGGTGGTTTGTTGATGCTTTGAAGGCATCCATCCTCTGCTCCCACCTGCCCCCAGCTCCAGCTCATCATCTCCAAAGCAGCTGGTGGGACCCCATCAAGCCCAGATCCTCCCCTCCCTTTTGCACGGGACCTTCTGAAGGCTGACGGGGTCATCCAAGCACCATTATTATTATTAAGTGGTTTTTTTGTTTGTTTTTTTTTTTTGTTCTCAGATGAGGCCACACAGTCTGCAAGTGGTTCACTGCCAACACCACATGCTGCTGCTCCTCCCGTCCTGCGTCAGGACACATCCCTCGATGGCACATCTGCTGCTGGCTCTGCCTTGGACAAGAACTGGTCCTGGGACACTGGTGCTGGCTGGACCTGCCCCTAAGCCCCCACTCAGCTCTGCCTGGGGCTCCTGGCCAGCTCCAAGGACACCATGACCCCCCTGATCCAAAGCTGCACTGTGCCATGAGTCTCACCAACCAGCAAGCCTGTATTTCAGAAGGATCCCACTGAATGGCACAAAGTGGGAACCAGGTGACCTGTCACCTGGCAGCAGAGCAGGAGAGCAGGGTGCTGCGGGCCAGCAGCCATTGCTGGTGGAGCACCCGTGGCACAGCACCTGAATGCCATCACTGTCACTGTCACCTTGCGGAGGAGCCAGCAAATGCCAGTTCCCTGGGGAGCACCGGGAGAGCGGAGCTGTCGGGTCTGTATTTAAAGCACTGATTGCCAGAAATCATGGGACGGCTGTGCTGGGAGGGGGGCAGAGAATTAGATTCAGTCTCTAATTAAACGTTTGCTCTTCATTTGAATTTCAGATGCCAGCTTTAATTTTAGAAACCTCGGCAGGCAGTGGAGCGACCTGCCCACACCTGCCTGCTGCTGGACCTGGCGCTGGAGGACAGATGCCACCACAGCTGGGCTGGTGGGGACAGGGCTGTGCACTTGGGTACTCGCTCCCCAACGCAGAGTGTAACAAATGCTGTGCCATGTCCCCCCAGCATGGTGCTGGGACAGCCCCAATGAGGGACTCAGTGCCAGGCTGGGGTGGTGGCAGTGCCAGTGGTAACGCAGGGACAGTACTCACGTATTCAGTATCGGCCTTGGAGTCATAGTACTCAATGTCTTCCTCCTGCAGAGAAAAGGGAGAGCTGAGTTAGTGTCAGGCAGGGATGGAGATGGCAGAGGGGAGCCCATCAGTGCCCTCTCTTCCCCTCATTCATCCCTGCAGCACCTCCACCATACTGCTGGCAGCTGCCACATCACCAGGGACTGAACCCTGCCATGCACAGCCTCTGTCACTGCACTGTGACAGGGCCACTGGCACAACCGTGGCCTTTGCACTGCCACCAGGCACGAGGCTGCACCGTATTCCCATGCCGAGGATGCTCTGGTCCTGCTGGAGGCCTGGGGAGCTGCAGGAGAGCAGCCCCAAGCAGGGTGGCAGCAGTGGCACAGTTGGCACAGCTCCGCTCCCCGCGTGCCAGAAACAGGGAGCTGAGTGCCCTTGCTTCTGCAGAGAAACACACGCCCTCAGTTTTGGGTATTTAGAGCCTATTTAGGCAGAAAGGGCAGCTCAGAGTCCTCTTCCTCATGTCAGGACGTGAGGCAGCTGACAAAATCCCGAAAGAGGCAACTGGGAGAGCAGCAGCGCTGCAGCAGCAGCAGCTCGGGTGCCATCAGAAGGGGGAATTAAAGGCCACTCGGAGGCTCTTTGCAGCGAGGACGTGACGCGATGCCGGTGTCACCGCGCACGTGTCCTCGCTTGCCGTGCGGGCCCGTCCCGCTGCCCTGATTAGTGCTGCCCTTAGTTAATGGGGAGAGCCATCCAGGCCCAGAACAGAAACTCAGCCAAAACCTTAACTAGCCCTCCCCGCTCCTCCTCTGCTCTGTGGCACCCAGCCTGGCCACGGGCTCGTGCTGGTGGCACCGTGACACTCAGCCCAGCACAGCCACAGAAGCACCAGTGGCAGGGGGACCCCAGCAGGCTGCATGGCTGGTGTCCCCCTGCAAGGGGACTGTCAAGGGCAATTTCAGCATCCTCCCGGGCAGAGGGGCTGGGTGGGTGTCCTGATGGGCTCTGCAGCTCTCATCACAGCAAGAAGGCAGCACCGAGAAGGGAAAGTGAAAACAAAAAAATTATTGACACAGCATCTTCCAATTTCTGCTATTAAAAAGCCTAGTCATTAAGGGAATGTACTTATTAATTATCTGTGATTTGTTGTGAAATGCTGAGGGGTTTACAACAAGAAGAAAAGGGAAAAAAAAAATTAATTTATCTCCCCTGCAACTCCCTGCCCTGCTCCCTGCCCTGCTCCCTGCCCCACACGTGCCCCTGCCCCTCGCCAGCGCCGCTGCCTCCCCGGGTCCATCACCATCTGCAATTCCTAATTAAAGGAACCCCTGGGAGACCCGTAACACAAACGAGTTAATTTCATGTATAATGATCTTTAATCAGAAGTGAGTGGGATTAACAATAGCCATCCAGAAGGTGCTTTGTTATTCATTTTATCTTCCATTGGCTCCTCCAAAAAGCTCAAATCCCCTCTGACCGGTGGTGCTCGGGGAGGAGAGCTGGTTCCCTAGTCCTGCTTCCACCTGCTCCAGAACTCCTATAGCATGGCATGACATGGGGAGCAGACCACGTGGAATGATATCTTTCCCACCTGTTTCCCTTGCCATGCACCTTTTCAAGCCCAGGAGCAACTGTGTGAGATCCCAACCCCACTCCATGCCACAGCTGAGCTTTGCACACACGAGGATGCCACATGTGGGACAGCCAGTGTCACCATGGCCCTGGCCCTGTGACATGTCCTGATGCCCCTCTCCTTGTCACAACCCCAGTGATGCTTCGGTGGCTCATGGAGGGCACGGAGCCTGGGGAAGCCGGCAGGGCATCCGTGTCCTCAGCACCTGGAGGCTGGTGGGAATTTATTCCATGAAGGAAGGACGGCGTCCTTGGAAATGCTCTAGAGAGAGGCCAGGGGTCTCCCAAAAGGCAACACAGGCTCCAACAATTTCCCCTCCCTAATATTTGTCATTTAAACCACACTGTCCTTATTCACTAACAGTCTCTTCCTCCTCTGGTCTAAGTTACAGCCAGCACTGCCTGTGTAAATAGCACGGATATTTCTAGAGCCTTTCAGAATAAACACCAATAAAGAAAACAAGAGGGTGAAGATGTCAGGGATTTCAGGGCAAACTGCCCCCTTCTCTTGCAAACGAGCCTGCAAAAAGCACCCGCAGCTTGTGCTGGAGGGGAGGAGACTCTGGGCAGGGGCTCCTCCATGAGGTGTTAATTGCTGCCCATTTTCTGGCACCATAATGGCCAAAAGGCACCTGAGCAGGCAGGAAGCACCGTGTGCCAGCAGATAAACAGGGGGTATTTCAGTCTCCTAAACCTTCGGTGTGAGTGAAGGGGAAAGGACTCTGGGAGTTAAGTGCAATCACAGGCTCATCTGCCAGTGCTGCAGAAGGCATTGCCCAGGCTTCTCCAGCAAAGCCACCGAGCAACCTCCGTGTGAGCACCAAACCCTTGCCTGCTCCTTTGCTGATTTTACACCAAAATACCAAGCAGAAAGCTAATTAATGAAACCAAGCTGGAGCCCTGCCAGCAGCTCACTGGAGGACCCTGCTCCCAGGATGGGTGCTTCCTGGCCACAGCCCTGGTTTGAGACAAAGCCCACGACAAGGAGGGGCATGGGCTCTCCCCTCGCCACCATGGTAGCTGTGTAACTGGGCAAAAAAAGTGTTTCTGCAACAGCTACCATGGGGTGCTGTGAGTCCCACAGTCAGGAACAGACTCCCAAAGGGACTGGGTGAATTCCTGGGTGAAATTCCTACCTGTCATCACAGCCACGCCTGGCTCTGGGCATCACGAGAAACATTGGCAGTGGCTGGTGAACCCTTTACTTGTACTGGGCTAAAGCAGCCCTGCCCATACACATAATGGTGAATCCTTCACCAATTCCAGGGAAGAGGAAAACTGTCATGGTCATCCCAGCCACCACAGGCTGTTGGATGGACCCAGGATCAGTCTGGTGGGGCCCATGCCTCTCCTGCAGCCCTTGCCATGCGAGTCCTCTCACATCCTACCCAGCAGCAGCCACCGTGTGCATTACCAAGGACAGGTGGAAACAGTCATCACAATCTGCAGAGGCTTTTTTTTTTTTGCTTTTTTTTTTTTTCCCTCCTCTAAAAGCAATTTCCTCCCTCTGCCTCTCTGACAGAGCTGGGGAAATATTTAAGTGACCCGTCAACAGTTTTTTCATCTCCCTGAGAAGATGTTTTATCTGATCACACCTCACCCGCTATTCTTCTTTACATGGCACCTCCCGTCGGCTCCTGCTCCTCTGACGCTGCCCTGAAGGAGAGGCCCCTTTCCCCTCCACTGCACCCGGACACCACAGAGATGCCAGCACCCACGTGGAGCCAGAGGGTGCTGGGGATCCCCTGCCCTGCCAGCGATGGGATGGGACAGGATAGGATGGCAGCTCTGGCACTGAACCATCGCACCCATGGTCGAGTGGCCTGGCCATTTGCAGGGTGGGAGGTGTCAAGGGGAACACCCCCCCCCAAGCCCCATTCTTGGCTTTTAAGAGGGAACAGCACCAATATGGGGGGTTTGTGAATGGTTTTCTTGTTCTGCTTTTCGGCCAGAACGGCTCTACAGCAAGGTTGGTGCTTTAACACAGTAATTCTCCGAGCGTAATGAAAGCTGACATTATATCAAACACAATAAAGACTCTCAGTTGATGGAGATCATTCCTGAACACACAAACCCATTAAACTGAAAAAAAAAATATCAATTCTACACACTCGCCAGCCAAAAGAAAATGTGATTTGTTATCTAAAAGGGGGTTATAAACACAGCTTCAATGCACTTTCTGTGCTGTAATGAAAACTGGGTTTGAAATGGCAAGACGACTGCAAATTAGGGTATTTGATTTTATTTTCTAACTTTTTAGGTAAACCTTCTACAAGGGCAAGTACAAGGTTAAGGCGACGATCTTTCTGTTCTCGGCCGATAAGTAGGATCTGTAATTAAAGGAGGAGAAAAATGAAAGGGGGATCAGGAGCTGGCGTCTGCCCTTCCAACGCCGCTTTGAAGACAAAGCCCTGCCTGCACAGCCGTGGCAAACCCATGGGAACAGCCACCAGTGCGTGCCAGGCTCCCACCACAGACAGGCACTGGGCTCACTGGTGGTGCTGGATGGAGCAGCTGGTCTGTGGAGCCTCGAGCCCAGAGGGATGCTGCACTGGGGCTGCACGGCTTCTGAGGGGCATCCATGTCCCCCCTGCTCCATTCCTCACCTTTCTTGGGCAGCTAGGAGCAAAATCTCCTCCTCTTCTTTATCCCTCCCCATTTAACAAACACTGATGCCATTTTCCCCAGAGTTTTGTTTCTAATGGAGCTTGAAATTATCTGGGCTTTGTTATTTGTTCATGTGTTTGTTGGCGTGGGTTATGGACGGGGGCAGTTGTGTGGGGCTGCCTGGGCTCCCTCTGCTGCCTCTGTGCACCCCAAAACCACCTGTGCTGTGTCCCACAGTTACACCCTGTCCTCAGCAGCTCTTACACAATATACAGCTATTCTTTTTTTTTTTCCAAGGAGAAAGGGCCTGCTGGGCTCTGGCCCTTTGAATACCCCTTTCCTCTCCCAAAAGGTGGGGAGAGTTGGGAGACAGCAGGCAGAGGGAAGGGGAAGCTTCCCAATGTAGTGATGGAAAATACATGGGAGGAAGAAGAACTGGGAGAAAAGCAACAGTAATAAACATTTTATGAAGCAGAAAATGGCTTATAAAGAAGTCAACTTTTAAAGGCAATTTATATAATCCTGCCAAGAGCACATAAATGCGGGGATGGCTCTCTGCAGTGTTGGAGTGTCCCTTAAGAGGACAAATAGCTGCGGCTGCCCCAGCAGACCAGCAGGCAGAGATGACAATGCCCTGGGATGCAGTGTGGCTGGCAGTGCAGACCTGCGCCTCCAACCGCACCCCTGGGCCAGCACAGCCCTGGCTCCCACACACCATGGGGGTGCAGGACACCTGAGACTCCTCTGATGGGGGTGGGATAGGTCTGAAGGACTGGAAAAGAGCCTCAGGCACTGGAAAACCCTGGAGACAAGTGGAGCATATGGGTGGAGCGGAGCTGGGAGAACACAGAGTCGACTGGGACACCTGATGGGCAGTGCAGCAGCTTGTCAAGTGAGGATGGATGCAGAGGATGGCAGCAAAAAAACTCAACAGGACCTTCCGGCGTTTTTATAGGTACATTTTGCAGGTTTCTTGCTGAGCAGGGTGGCAAACAGAGGACGGAAACCTGGTAAACAGCATCACGGTGCAGGCTTCAGCCCTGGCACCTCCATCTGCTGCTGGGGATGGTCTGTATGTGGGCTCAGCACCACTGCTATGGCTGGGGACAGGGCTGGGAACATCCAGAGCAGGGGACAGCCCTGATGAGCCTCGAGGGACAGACCTGCATGGGTCTGCATAGAGCAGAGCCAGCCTGTCCTGGCGGCTCCTTGCAGAGGGGGACACAGCCCCAGCTTGGCATGGCCAGGAGACATGGGGGACCTGGGGGTGGGCAAGGACAAGGAGCAGGGATGGGACAGGACAGTGTGGGGCATGGGGGAATATTTTGGGAACTGGGAGGTGCTTTGCAAAGCCCCCCGAGGTGGGTGTCTGAACTCAACCCCTTCCAAAAGACCAGCAGGGTGGCTGTGTGACTGGGAACACCAAAAAAAAAGAGCAAGAAAAAAGGAACTTTCTCTATAGAGATGGGTCGTGAGTGACTGCTGGAGCAGCCTC